AATGCTTCCGGACAGCTGGAATTCGCTGCATCGAGTAGTTTCACGAGCTGTTGTGACCAAAGAGCCGCGGCGGCATCTGCTTCCTGTTTGCGTAGCATCAAGTCGACTGTAGCATTTTGATTCTCAACAATTCGCGATTCCATCTCACGCACTTGCCATCGGATCATTTTCCGGTATATTTTATACTGAAAAGATAATAACAGTGGTGTAGGCAATCTCAACAGTAATATTATGACATCAGTTGTGAGTACGATAACCATCATAATAACAAATATTACTGTTGACTTGGTGAAGTAACATTTTGTCAGTACAGCAACTTAGACAGTATCAGTACAGTAGTATTGAACTCGTCACCCCAGGACTCCATCAATACTCCAGCTCTTGCTTCCTTTGGAACTAAACTGCAAAGACTCGGGGGAAGTGGAGAGGGGAAGGGGGGGGGGGAGAGAAAGAGAGAGAGGCAATGCGGGTTTCATCATATCTTGAAACTGATCACATTTCCATTGCATTCTATTTTTATGCGTTTTGCAACGTAAAACGAATATTTTCGAAACTCCATCTTTGTGTGCAAGTTGCTAGTTGAAACAGAACAGCAACGTATCGGAGCATTTCGAGGATCTTCCCTGTCACTATAAAACATTCACTTATGCTTTACGCGTAAGTACCTGAAAATTGTGGCCGTAAAATTTTTTGCAGCTTTTTATCACGGAGACCAGAAAAGCTAGAAAACGATAAATTTGCGAACATAGCCAATGAGCATTGTACACCCCGAGACACAAGGCAGGTTCTAAGAATTCATACTTCCAACAGGTATGTAGACACTAGAAATTTGAGACTGCAAAGGCAACCATGTGAAACATGCACTAGAGTATAAATACTGAAAAAAATTTTGCACGAAATTGTAATAATAAACTTACGTCTTTGAGAAGGTCCCGAAGCTGCTTCCATTTTAGTTTGGCAATTCGAAGCTCATTTTGTAACTGATTGATCATGTCACGGTCAAACGAGGATGATCGTTTCCTACAACATGCATTACTCTCACTACCGTTCATGGTGCCAGCGTACATGTAACTGAAGAACGCCCACATTTCGCTTGCAGTTCTACTGAGCTTTTTTAAGCTGTATTAGCTACTACCGACCTTTGTCGACTGCAGTGGAGTCTTTATCTGCATGGGCGCCAGATCAGCTGGAGACAAAAGAAGCGATGAAGAAAAAATAGCAGAAAGGGTGCTTATTGGATGCTTCTCGTGAAATAATTGGATAAG